ACTTAAAGATTATAGCCAAGAAGACCCAATGGAGAGATTCTGCTCTGTAACCCGTGGGGTCGCCATGATTTGGAATCGACTTGACAGCAAACAACAGCAACAACGACATCGTGAATGGGAGCGGTGGGGGTTCAGTGGTAGAGCTCCTGCCTTACATATAGGAGACCCAGGTTCGATTCCTGGTCAATGCACCTCATGCACAGCTACCACCTGTCTGTCCGTGGGGGCCTGTGTGTTGCTGTGATGCTGAACAGATTTCAGTGGAGCTTCCAGACTAAGACAGACTAGGAAGAAAGGCCTGGTGATCAACTTCCAAAAGTCAGCCAGTGAAAACCCTGTTCTGCGTGGAGTTGCACGAGTCGAGACTGAGGCAGCTAACAACAACAAATTCTTGCATGAGCTTCTTTGACTAAGGCTTCTGGACGAGGGAAATGTGTCCACAGTGATCTCCTAGTCTGAGAGCGCCGTTTTCGGCCGGCAGTGCCTGACCTCTTACCACCCTCAGTAAAGTGTAGGTGAAAGTTTTACAACTAGTGTTTCCAATTAGAGCAAATTGACCTGATAAGGAGAGACACGCTGGCTTTTGATGGGCGATGCACAGTGCTAGGGAGCGCGAGCCCCTCCCCCTGAGATACTTATAGTTGCCCAGCGGCCGATTCCTCATCCCTGGGCTATTCTTCCTCCAAATCATACAGAATAAAAGTAATGATAAATGTTTGAGTGCATTCTGATCTGCACCCTGACGCGGTGAGATATGGAAGAGCATATTCAATGCCATAAGGAGCCCTGGTGGTGCAGCAGTTTAGCACTCGGCTGCTAACTGAAAGGTCAGCGGTTGCAACTCACCAGCTGTTACGTGGGAGAAAGATGTGGCAGTCTGCTTCCATAAAGATTGTTATAGTCTTAGAAACTCCACAGAGCAGTTCTACTCTGTTCTATAGGGTCGCTATGAGTCGGAATTAACTAGAAGGCAATGAGTATATCCCATGCCAGTCAGTAGTGAAAGCTCTGACAATTTTGCATTTGTTAGGTTGGACTGGTCTGAAATATACCTCTGTGCTACTCTGAGGAAAAGCTTGCTAGTGTAGATTTTAGTGCCAGATAATAGCAATAAAGATGGCAGACACCTGTATGGCACACACTGTGTGCCAGGAGCAGAGCCCTGGTGGCACAGTGGTTAAGAGCATGTCTGCTAACCAAAAGGTTGGCAGCTGCTCCTTGGAAACCTATGGGACAGCTCTACTCTGTCCTGTAGGGTCGCTATGAGTCGGAATCGACTTGACAGCAACGGATTTGGTTTTTTGTTTGCTTTTATGTGCCAGGAACAATTCTAAACACTTTGTGCATATGAGCTCATTAATGCTTTCTCAACGCCATGAGGTAGATAGTATTATTATCCACGTTTTAGTCTGGGTCATCCATTTAGGCTGTTTGAGTTGCTGAGCTATCGCAGGGTAAAGCCTAACTCGTCTGTGTTATAAGAGACCACTTAGGATTTCACTCCTGCCTGCTTGTAGAGTGAGAGGCAGTGCAGTGTGGTCCTTGGGAGTCCAGCTCTGAAGCCACACTGCCCCAGTCTGCATCCGGGTTCATCACTAACCAGCAGTGCGACCTTGAGCAAGTCATTGCTTTCTCTGTGTCGCAGTTCCCGCCTTGTAAAACGGGGCGAATCTAGCACTGCCTCACGGGGCTGTGAGGACTGGTGTTAGCTACCACCGAGCTGGCTGCGGACTCCTCGGACCCAGGCACAATGAAACAAAACGCCGCCCAGTCCTGCGCTGTGATCGCTGGCAAACTGGACCATTGTGGTCCACAGGGTTTTCATTGGCTGACTTTGGGAAGTTGATTGCGAGGCCTTTCTTCCTAGTCTTAGACTGGAAGCTCTGCTGAAACCTGTTTAGCATCCCAGCAATACAGACGCCTCCACTACCAGACGGGCGGTGGCTTGTTGTGAGGAGTAAATGAACTCGTATATGTGAGGCAGTAACGGCAGTGCTTTGTACACGAGAGGCACTGTTGACATTACAATTAGCTATTTTGCTTTCCAGGTTCATCTCCCAAAACCTGTTAAAACCCACTGCTGTCGAGTCGATTCCGACTCGCAGTGACCCTATAGGACAGAGTACAGCTGCCCCATAGGGTTTCCAAGGAGCAGCTGGTGGATTCAAACTGCTGACCTTTTGGTTAGCAGCTGAGCTCTTAAACACTGCGCCACCAGGGCTCCTTCATTTCTCAGTGTCCCCGTAATGTAACTGCCACGCTGAACTAATCCGAGCTTGCCTTGCCCTCCTGAACTCATTCAGACTCAGTGCTTTTGCACATGCTGTTCCCTTTGAATGGAATGCCTTTCCTCTTCTCTCTTGCTCTGATCAGCTTAACCGTCCCCCCATCAGGCACCTTCCTTTAGTGCCCTATTCCCCCCTCCAGGTACTTGTTCCCTGCTTTCTTTGTGACCCCAGTAGCCACTGTCTATCAAAGTATTTGCCAGATTAGCAACAACCTAACGTTTATGGGGAGACCCTGGGTAGTGTAAATGGTTAATGTGCTTGGCTATTAACCAAAAGGTTGGAGATTCAGGTCCACTCAGAGGCACCTCAGAGGAAAGGCCTGGCAGTCTACTACTGGTAAACCAGTGATTGAAAACCTTATGGAGCACTGTTTTACTGTCACGCGTGGGATCGCCATGAGTCAGAAACGACTCCAGAAACACTAGTAAATGGTAACATTGATGGGGTACTTGCCAGGCACCCAGTGCTGAGTGTTTTTCTTGCTCTTAACAGTTAACAGTTAACGGTGTATTAACAACACCTGCATGAGGTAGGGTTAGATTTTGTTTGAATTTTTTCCCTGTCCATCTCTCCCCGTAGACTGTGAGAGGGGCTTCGACGTCTGTGTGAGTTACTATTTTGTGCTTCTAGGACTCGGCAGAGTGCCTGATTAATACCCAGCGGGTGCAACGTAAATGCGTAAGTGGTCGTATTTGACCAACACATATTTGCATCTAAATAATAAGCTAATTATAAGTAATTCTTCTTTTGACTAATCTTTATACTTTTCTATCTAATTGCAGAAATTTACTGTCAAAAATTTAGAAAACAGCATGTAGAAATTTTTGAAATGGTGTATCTTTGGCTATGTGTATTTTCACCAAAAAAAAATAAGAGGTTGAGAAGTTAGAGGGTTGATATATTATGGGGTTGTTAACCAATGTTATAAAACAACATGTGTACTTCTGTTTCATGAGAAACTATTTGTTCTGTAAGCCTTCACCTGAAGTACAATAAAAAAAAAAAATTTAGAAAACACTCATGAGTAAGAAGGAACTTAAAATCCTCCCCCTCCCCCCCAGCCCCAGAGAGCTGCTTAGGAACACACAGCTATTAGATGTCTGAATGGAGGACTAAGGCCAGGCCGTCTGGCTTCAGAGCCTGTCTTAGTCGTGTAGTGCTGCTATAACAGAAACACCACAAGTGCATGGCTTTAACAAAGAGAAGTTTGTCCTCTCACAGTCCAGTAGGCTAGAAGTCCGAATTAAAGGCGCCAGCTCCAGGGTAATGCTTTTTCTCTCTGTCAGCTCTGGAGGAAGGTTGTTGTCATCAGTCTTCCCTTGGTCTAGGAGCTTCTCACAGGAACCCCAGGTCGAAAGGATGCACTCTGCCCCAGGCGCTGCTTTCTTGGTGGTATGAGGTCCCCATGTCTCTCTGCTCACTTCTCTCTTTTATATTTCAGAAGAGATTGATTTAAGACACAGCCTAATCTTGTAGATTGAGCCCTGCCTCATGAACATAACTGCCATGAATCCCACCACATTAACATTATAGAGGTAGGATCACGTAGGGAAATCACATCAGATGACAAAATGGTGGACAATCACACAATACTGGGATCATGGCCTAGCCAAATTGATACACATATTTTTGGGGGACACAATTCAATCCATGACAGAGCCCATGCTCTTCATTGCTGTCTTGCACCATTGTCCCCCTTGCACGTACACATACACCCATATACAAATGACGTTAGTTTTTAAAATGGATCAGAAAAGTTGATATTTGAAAAGTAAATCTACCATACCGATAATGATGCAATGCATTAACTCTTGTGTTGAAAAAACCCCTGGTATTTGGTCTTTTTGTTTCTTCACATTTTCTGTTCCCTCTGTTATTTAGGGCAATACTGGGGAAAATCATCAAAACCGAGATTGAGAGGTAAAGGAGAAAGAAATCGCTTCTGAAGTCAGACGGCCAGGGTGGCTATGCTGCGTGTGGTAGCTGGGACAGGTTGTGGAACGTCTTCATCTCAATCTCTTCATCTGTAAAGTAGAAATAATAAAACACTTAGCAGCGTTTTGTGAAGCTCAGAGGCCATATGACAGTGAAGTGTCTGGTGCTTGATTCATGGTGGGTATTTTTGTTGTTAGATTCTGTGGGTGGTGCGAATGATTAAGATGCTCAGCTGCTAACCAGAAGGCAGGAGGTTTGAGTCCACCCAGAGGCACCTCAGAAGACAGGCCTGGCGATCTACTTCCAAAAAGTCACAGCCTTGAAAACCCAATGGATGGGCCACCACGAATCAAAATCAGCTCCACTTGACAGCGACTGGATTTACTGGGATTTGTGTTGTTAAATCTGTAACTAGTGACACCCCACTGCTTGTTCAAACAACAACTGTGCCAAATTATTCTCCACGGATGCAAGTGGCTTTTTTCCAATCCTTCATTTTAATCCGCATAGCAGCCTAACTTTTATATTATTATTAGATGTCTTTAGTAACTTGCCTCACAGTCATTTTCTGAGAAATTCAATCTCTTCTCCATGGGGTCTCTTTTGAGATTAAAGAGAAAGAAGTGGCAAATTCAGGATGTTAGAGCAATTGTCATGTAAAAGTAGATCACTGTTTTCATTACCATGTCGTTAATGTTTTCTGTTTTCCATTCACAGGGAGTTCCTTGTCCATCAGTGTGCACTGCCGAACTGAACTCTCCTGTTTTCTTAAAAGATGAAAGGAAGCAGCCATGACTGAGCCACTAGAAGATTCAGTAAATGCTTCTGATTTCCCCGATTATACAGCTGCTTTTGGAAATTGCACTGATGAAAAAATCCCACTCAAGATGCGCTACCTCCCTGTTCTTTACAGCGTCATCTTCCTGGTGGGCTTTCCGGGGAATGCAGTAGCCATTTCCACCTATATTTTCAAAATGAGGCCCTGGAAAAGCAGCACCATCATCATGTTGAACCTGGCCTGCACAGACCTGCTGTATTTAACCAGCCTCCCCTTCCTGATTCACTACTATGCCAGCGGCGAAAACTGGATCTTTGGGGGGTTCATGTGCAAGCTTATCCGCTTCGGCTTCCATTTCAACTTGTACAGCAGCATCCTCCTCCTCACCTGCTTCAGCATCTTCCGATACTTTGTGATCATCCACCCCATGAGCTGCTTTTGCATTCACAGAACCAAGTGGGCCGTGGCAGCCTGTGCAGTGGTGTGGGTCATTTCGCTGGTGTCTGTCATTCCTATGACATTTCTGATCACACCCACCACGAGGACTAATCGATCCGCCTGTCTGGACCTTACCAGTTCTGATGACCTCACAGCCATCAAGTGGTACAATCTCATTTTGACTGCAACCATTTTCTTCCTCCCCTTGGTAATAGTGACGCTTTGCTATACAACGATTATCTGCACCCTCACCCAAGGACCTCAGGCTCACGGCTGCCTTAAGCAGAAAGCTCGGAGGCTAAGCATTCTGCTGCTTCTTGTGTTTTATATATGTTTTTTACCCTTCCACATCTTGAGGGTCATTCGGATTGAATCTCGCTTGCTTTCCGTTAGCTGCTCCGTCGAGAATCAGATCCATGAAGCTTACATTGTTTCTAAACCACTAGCTGCCCTGAACACGTTTGGAAACCTGGTACTGTATGTGGTGGTTGGAGACAACTTTCAACAGGCCATCTGCTCAGTAGTGAGATGCAGAGAAAATGGGGACCTCGAGCCAGCAAAGAAAAACAGTTACTCAAACAACCCTTGAAATAGTTCATTTATTCAACCAAAAACAACCTGTAACTTATAAGAGGTCGAGAATATCTCCCTCAACCAACGGAGCTCCCAATAAATACATTGTCAGGTCGTTATGTACCAAAGTCAGAGCTACCAGGAGTTCTTTTCAGTCCATGTATTGAAATCTTCCCTTGGGTAGACAGAAGAATGGGATGTGTGCGGATCAGTAAACTGTTCAAAAGTAGAATTACAGACTATTGGAACTTGAGGGCATCTCAGAGAACATCTAGTTCCC